AGTAGGTTTATTTAGATGGTTTTTTTTTTATTACACTGCCTGGTTTGTCCTTTATTTCAGCAAGCTGGAGTTGCATTGTAGTTTAATTGCATTGCAAAGTCCGTAATAGTACGTCTCCTCCATTAGCTTTGATACAATGTTCATTAAGAAATGAGTTTTGATAAAAGGAGCATGATAAAGTAATTTAACCCTCGTGCACTTTTAACCCTTCTTTACTGTCCGATTCGATTACATATAAAAAGGCCTCAATGATATTTCTGATGTGGTACCGTTTCCTTTCTAATTTACTAATATCGTTGAGACAATATAATTTTGTTTATATCAAGTATCGATGAACGTAAGGATTAATTAAGTGTGACTTATTTACTACTCTAAAAAAAATATATGAAAATACTCCTCGATCAACTCAATATCTTTCGTTTTCAATTTTCTACACATAAAAATTTCAATACCTGTATATATGTTCTTTGTACAATTTTAGACCCTTTAATCAATTACAAATTTTACACAGTTACTCTGAAGTATTCTATCAAAAGCATAAACCATCCTATAGCACGACCCCCTAACTTCCGCTCCTTCTCATTGCACATTTTACAATTGATCGATGCAATGCCTGACGATGCAACAGCAATCTCCCTCAGTATCACTTCAACATTCAAACTAAATCTCCCCGATCAGCATGCACAATAATTAATCCAAACCTAATATTTCAATCACATAAAACTCGCCTCATAAAATCAAACGAAACTCCCGGTGAACCTTTAAAACGGAACTCAGCAAATAAATACAAACAAAAATTTATCAAACGCTCCTTCCCCTCGCGTGATCTACAATAAAAACTATAATTTTCCAAAATTCGATCGAAAATTCTTCGTTTTCTCTCGTTCATCTAACTTTCAATTCCTATATTGCTCGATTAATCAGTTTTTCAATTTTCGTCTTTCCTTCCGTTTCTATTTCCACCAAGAGTAATTTCTTATCGAACTCGTTTACTTTATATCCAGTCATTTGACGGTAGAAATAAGTACGTACAAAGTGCCGGCACTGTTAAATGTCAAGAACAACACAGTTTTAAAGAGTCCCAAAAGAAACCGCGAGGCAACGGATTCAAACAAAAATCCTTCCATTGATCTCGCGATATCACGCGCGCAATAAACAGCTCGTGTGTGCCGATAAGAAAGCGAGGAAAAAGGTCGAAAACGTCGTAACCCGTCACGCGTTTTACCCGTCAGACGACTTTGTTGCGGTCAGACGGAGTCAGACGTTCGACGATATTCTGGCGGGAGGGACTCGTAAAAATAGTGTCCTCGCCGTTTCCTCCCTTCGACTCGGCCGACTATAATTAGCGGGGATTCGCGTATTCTGCGTAAACAAATATTCGGCCCGTTCGAGCGGTGTGCGGCGCGCGGCCACTTTACCGTTGTCCGTGATTTCCTGTTCGATAGTGGCGCACACGCTGAATAAACACCGCAAAACACGGCCTATCCGGCCGGTCACGGGTGTCGCGGCCGTTGCCGGGCACCGTCTATCGATGGTACACGGGTTTTGCATTAGGAGTTACCCGCGGACAGTAGAAACAGGACTGGTTCGTGGCACGTCTTCCTCCCTCCACCCCGTCCTTCTAACGTTTCGTCGTACTTACTCTACTCTCTAGTAGAATATGCCTATAGCGGGGCGGTAGAGGGGCGGGCAGAAACTATTCATACCCGACCGGAGGAACGTTCATAAAAATAGGATTTTCGCGATTCCCAACGCCGCGACGACGCGCTTAATGGTGGCCACCGTGCCCGCCGCGAATAAATCTCGCACAAATTCGCCGCGGCGCTCGACGGGGTTGACGAACGGTTTTATGGAAATATCGGTGGGGCTGATTGGTAATCGAGTTGATGTCTCGGTTTGTTTCGTTGATAGGTTGTCAGGAAAGTTCAGTTCCGTAGCACGACGCGTCGTATTAGTGAATATAAATAAATTCTTGATAAACCTCTGCTAAGTTTTTTTAGTTGATTTCGATTAAATCTCACTGACTTACAAGTGTATCTTTCAAGGAAATATTTTTGAAAGAAGTTTTCTTCGGGATAGAGAAGAATCGATACTGCGCGAAGAAGATTCTATCAAACGTTCGACATTGTTAAATCTACTTTCCATTCTCGAGAACAATAAACCGTGTAATATCGTTTCATAAATCGATTTGCACGATCTTTATCATTGCGAGGGGCACGTTAACTGCTCGGGTCGTAACAGTGTATCGTTTCGCTGGGCGCAACGAATGGTTCCACCTGGAGTGGGTATCGTCTCGATCGAGGCGGGTATCGTCCGCGATAGGGATCGTTATCGTTGTTTTTCATTTAATCAGCCGCATCGATGGATATCGATCACGCCGTTTATCTCAAGTATCGCCGTCTGTGCAGTCGGAATAATTATTTCCTCGGCGTGCGTGCGGGCAGGCGGGCGTGCGTGCGCGCGCGTTCCGTTCTGCCGAGGGTTATGCGCGTCGGGATAAAAGGGTTACAGGGAACGGGAACCGTAGGTCGCCGATCCTCGACATAAATAATAAATCCGACGCAACGCCGGGGGCCACGCAGCCGAGTTACCGAGGGCCACTCGAAAATCTCGAGTGAGAGAGCGTTCCGCGGGGCAACATTTTCAGTTTTTCAACCTCGCTCCCCGCGTCGGACATTAGTTCGTTATATCGGTATTGTCATGCACGCGGCCGAGGAACGACGGGCACAATGCCGCGGAAAGCGGCCGGCAGAGGGTAGGAACGTTTGAACGAAACGAATCACTCGAAATCCGTTCGCCAACTATTTCCTGGGGGCTTATATTTTAGGAAGTTGTAGGAAGCATGAGAACATGGACCAGAATAAGACAGCGCATGACTCGCAACACTGTTCCTCTTACTCCGCCAGCCTTTCCCCTCGTTTACGACCACGATTTCGCGTGGCTCGAGACTCTTTTCGATGAGTTTTTCAACGATTTTTACGCCGTTTTCGGTGATAAATGGTTTCTTCAATGTTCGGGAGGTTCGTGGAGTTCATGGGGAAATTTGGAGTTATGTGAATTGACGAGTTTTATTTGTGTGAAATTTATTTATAGGCTTCTGTGGCTTGTGAAATATTTCAAGTGAATCTTTGATTGGGCTGAGGTTGAACTGTACAGTGAGTTTTCGTTCGAATTCGTTGGGAATGTTATAAACTGGAATTGAAAACGAATATTCCAATTCTATCGCTGCACTAAAATCATCTGCATTAACTACAACTCGGAGATGCTAAAAATATCACCGATATATTGACATAAAAATTAATTTGTAATTCTGGATCGAATAATTACCAGAAAGCAGCAAATGTTTATATTTATATTTGCCTGAATATTTGCGACGATTGATATCATTGACTCCATCCACCAATACAAAATATTTCACCACCAACTACCTGACAGATACGAAACATATTTACCCAAGCATCCAAATTCCCGTTGATTCAAGCCCGCATGAAACATTTCAAAACTCGCGATTCTGCTCAGCCGTCAAACACTTTCAAACCAACCTAACGCAGCCATCGTTCTGTTTCAGACCGCTCATAGTCTCTCCCCGAGGAAGCCCAGGTGAACAGGATCTCAGACGCGGCGGTGACCGTCGTGCATAGGATGCGAGGTCGGGCGTTGGCGACGCGGTTCACCGGGTTGGGCCGGTCGTCGGTGATCCCAGTCCGGGACCGTCATCGTCGCCCGCGATGATGTCGGAACGGAGTCGCGTAGCAGCGGTGTCGACGGTCGATCACGCGAGCGTTCGCGTTAGTTACGTTGCGTGCGCGACGGGATAAATGCGAGACCGAAACCCGGTTGTCGGCGGGCCGGTTGTCGCGACGACGAAGAGGAAGAAGAAAAAGGCACGCCCTGTGTACCTGGGGTACGAGGATCGCGACCGACGGCAGTACCAGCCGATCTGTCTGTGGATGAGAGCCGCCGCGTCCACGGCAAAGAAGACCGGCGACGGTTGGTTGGATGTAGAACAGGAAGAAGACGACGAAGAGGAGGAGGGGTCGTTGCGCCGGGTCCCGGTTAGACGACACTCGGACCTGGCGGTGCTGGACGAGGAAGAGGACGCGGTGGAGTTGGTGGTTACGGGCCGAATCCCGTGTTACCATCGGCAAGGTCGGCCTACAACCAGCTGGACTGGACGGGCTCGCGGGTTTTCGTGGTAAGGCCGAGGGTTGCGTGTGCCACCACGGGGGCGGGAGTGGGTCTGCCCCTGCTTCTTCTCGTCGTCGGTGTCCTCGGCAATCAAACGTGCACGACGACGGCTGCGCCGGTGGTATCCGATACGTACGTGTCCCTCGACGCTACGCCTCCTCGTCTTCTGCCTCGATCGCCGGATGACGACCGTTCGCCACCACTATACACGGCCAACCGGCGAACGACCGCTGGCCGGTTTCCCGATCACCTACCCGGGCACCCTTCGTGCTTGGATCATCATCCATCGAGCGTAGAACTGGATTATCACGGGGCGCACGAGGCCCGAGACGGTGATTGGTCGCCCCGGGATCCAGCTAGCACCGATAACGCCGGGACGAAGGATCGTTCTTCGCCAGGCGAAGAGGCAAGAACAGGAGGAAGAGGAGGAGGAGGTCTGGCTCACGAGTGGACCGAGTCGAAGCAGCAGGTCGCGGCTAGTCTCCTGGACGATCGGGGATCAACCTTAGACCGTGAGCTGGAGCCGTACTGGCTCCGAGCAGCGTTCTCACGGAGACGTCATCAGGAATCCTTGTCCGGTATCGTCGGAGGTGGCGAACGGGTACGTCAGGCGACTGGCCACGATAGATCCTTTAAGCCCGTGACGAAGGACAGTTCAACCATCCCGGATCTCGAGGATTCTGTCGGCGGGAGGGAGTCGCCGTCTAACGGGCGCGCTTCGCCGACGATTACGACGGCGCCGGTGATCAACGGGAGCACCGTACTCTATCCGGTTGTCCGAACTGCGTCGCAGTTGCTCGAGGACGAAGTGGCACACAGCTCGAACGAGGAAACGAGGGAAAACGAACGGAAAGGGAAGGACGGAGGAATAGGTGTCGCGGGTAAAAACGGGGGTGGGCACGCGGGTATCGGTGGTGGTGAGGTCATAGGTGGTGGTGGTGGTGGTGTCGTCGAGTGGACCACGACAACAGTCGCCGGGCCGATGTCATCGTGGTCGTATCATCCTGAAGACGAGGAGCCGGGAGCTGGAAGCGTAAGGACACGCCCGAGCCCGGAGGAGGTGGCGAGCGAGGACGAAGAGGCCGAGAGCAGCGAGGAACAGGTCAAGGTCACCGTAGCGCAGCCGACCAAGGGCTCGTCTACGTCGACGCAGCCGACTACGACCACCACGCAGCTACCACCACCCAGCCAAGACACCTCTATGGAAGCACGTGAGTAACTGATATCGTTCGCTACAATCCCCTCCCCCGATCATCCCCTTTTTCCAATTACCTTTCTCTCTCTTTTGCCGATTGAGCGCGGCTCCTTCGTGTGCCAGATACGCTCAGCGTCACCTATTTTGCTCCCTTTGCCATGCCTCTCCCCACGGGAGTGTTTACAGGAACCGCGCAGGACCCTTGGTCAGGTTATTTTTAACTATTCGTATACGGGGGACACTCTCGCTCGAGATCTACTCACTACCCCGAATGCTACCTTGGATTGCGTGTCCTCCGTACGCGGCTTCTGATCATGACGCAGAAGTTGCGCGTTGGAATACTACTTTAGCAATCAAGACATTGTATTTTTGTTTCTCTTTTAATTGTTTTTACGAGGGTGTAATTGGTACGAAGGAATGGAGATGGTGGTTTTATATTCGATGATTAATTGGGAATTTAATCGTTGGGCTGTATCTGAAACTATATGAAGATTTATTCTTAATTCTTTGTTTTTCTATCGAATTGGCAAATATGTACATATAATATTCTAATAATATTTCAATTACGTTCACCTCTTCGAATGGGGTAGAAATAATATTTGTTTTTATAAAACTTGCAATAGGTAGTGTTCAAGTATATTGAATGATATCTAATTTAACAACAAATATACCTGAATAACGTTTAAATTTGATTTTCTCGGATCCGATATTTGTAAGAGGAAGTTTGTTCTTTGATTTTTGATTCGTTTTCTGGAGCGGGATCGACACATTTTCACTCCCGTCATTGGTTACATGATACCTCAAAGTATTGTTTTAAGCTCATTGGCACTTACGCTAGTGGAACAACTGTGAGGCATTACATAAACTATTTCAGTTTATGTGTTTGAGTTGGATTAGCGCCTTTGAGGACCTCGCACAGCTGAGGTTTATGGAACAGTATTTTCATTTTATTCTACGGCTCTAAAGCTAGACAGAAGCTGATCACAATGTGACCATTTGTCCCGAGTACCATTTTAAGTAGTTACAGATGTTCAGTACGGACACGCATTTAAAGTCACCGTGAAGGATGAATGTATACTGAATCCGCAGTTTGCTCGGTTTTAATTAAATTAATATAACACTATCGAGGATACTATTAGTGTTAAATAATTCCGTCTACAGTAGCAGTAAGAAGAGTTTATGCGTTGCGTCTACGTTTAATTAACATTTAATTTTCCTCGACACCGTATCTTAACCGCGATCTAAATTATCGTAGAACATACAAAAAAAGTTCTGATTACACTGCAGAATTAAACAATTTATAGCGGATGCAATTACACAAAGTACGGCAAACTAAAAACTTTTATGGAGATTAACGCGGATATTGTATTATTCTTCGCCGAGTAACTCTTCGAACCAAGAACTTCCTAATTAATACCACTTTTTAAAAATTACTCCATAAAGATACGAATTTGCATAAATACATGCCTTTTAATTATAGTCAACATCGTGGCAAGCTGCGCCTTAATTAATTCCCGTTTCCGTAAACTGCCCAATCAAACTACAGATTTTTATAAACATTCACAGTTCAACCTAACAGAAATTAAACTCCAACTCCAAGCAACACACTCCACTACCATCAAACTAATACCAATCTCAACACAAACCACCAAATCCCGATCAATC